GGCCCATCCACCGCCGACCCACACGCCTTACTCGGCCCATCCGCCGCCAGCCCACACACCATACCAAGCCCATTTGCAATCCCACACGCCTTACCCGGCCCATTCACCTTACACGGCCCATCTGCCGGCCCACACACCTTACCCGGCCCATCCGCAGGCCCACACACCTTACCCGGCCCATCCGCAGGCCCACACACCTTACACTACCCCTGTGACGTCTTTTGCTGCTCCTCCTATGCCATCCTCGACGAAGGTAACAGAGGATTGGGAGCGCTTTGACTAAAATCAGTACACGAATTCTGCAAACTTTGAAAATACATTGGGTATTATGTTTGAAAAAACCGGGATGTATTTTATTTATCCATTTTGTTGACATCTTAATTGTTTTCTGTTGTCTTTGGGGGCTGCATTATGTCCTCGTGTAACTGCTTAGTGCCGGCTTGTAGCTCGGTGCGAAAATGGAAGGAGATATATTTTGTGTGAACATCTGATGCGATTTAGAAACTGTTGATGAGTATATAATCATTTGGTCACGGAACCCTTTGGTACGATTGGAAAAATGCCGAATAAACATTAATTGATCAGTCACTAGGACTTTGAAGTACGGATTTTATACACATTTTGTTTCTCCTCTCTTCTTAATTGTAAGGATTTTGGCGAGCTAGAGTTTGTTGTAATTGACTGAATCCACTTGATGATGAAGACGAAGTTAATAACAAATATCCAACCTGTAGGAACGTTTCTAAGAGAGCATCAAATACAGTATCTAACTTAATTTGCATTAAACACACAGGCTTGAAATCTCCCACATTGGATAACAGGATAACTAAACCTTGTGGAAACCAGCAAATGAGTTCAAATATTCACTGGTGATATTGAAACAATGTGGCAAAACTAATATGGGGCTTATCCCAGCTTAATTTTCACCTGTAGTTAGCTGCTAGCCCCAATTGATGCCTTACGGGGTATATCAGAAGAATAATAGCCTTACTATTAATTATCAGATAAACTTTATTAAATTAAATACATATATCAAAACATGTGAAGTGTATATGGCCTATTAGCTCAGTTGGTTAGAGCGTCGTGCTAATAACGCGAAGGTCGCAGGTTCGAGACCTGCATGGGCCATTGAGAACTTTTTTAATGTACTTTTGTCATTTTGGTTATTCTTACACTTTTTACTCAGTTGGCATGGTCGGTGGTCACTGGTTCGAAAGCTGCATGGGCCATCCCAATTTATTTTTTCTTTTTCTTTTTTTTTTTCCTAATCGGGATAACTTGTTTCTTCGTTTTGCTTTCTGCGTGAAGAAACACTTCTATACAAAATATTTGGAGAATTGAAGATATATAATGTCATCTTTTTCATATATAATGGAGAACTCATGTTTATATATAGCAAAATAAGACTAGGAGACCCGACATGTCTTATACAACCAAGTTCTTTGTATTTAATTATTAACTTAGCCGAGTACATTAATTTCTGTATCATTTAATTTTATATGTTCTTTTCAAATATAAATGATCAATATTCAATAAGTTGTTACCAAATCAATTTTTTCATAAAGGAAACAAAGCGGCCTGATATAATTTATATCTTGCAAAAATTAACTAACAAGAAATGAAGAAGTGATGAAGAGGAAAACACACATTAATCATACTATAATGTTCAAATTCAATAAACCTCAATTGCACATATATATATTTATTATTAATCAGGAACAAGTACCTCAAGATCTCACTCAGAATTACTACACCCAAATTCATAGAGTCAGATCCAGAGTACTCGTCCCTTTCGTGTTCTCGTCAATTAACGAGTCACCGTTCATCTTCTTCTTAGCAATTAGTTTCGTAAAGCTCGACTCGTATTCGCTAGAAGAATACTTATACAGTGAGAGTTCAAGTTGTTCTTCATCATCATCACCATCATCATTATTATCCAATATCTCAATGCCTTGCTCCCCTCGGTTTCTCAATTCAAACCGGCCGATCGATAAATTCAAGTCGAGATCATATGATTTGTCCGAGCCTAGTTTCCTTTTGAGACCATTATTCTCTCTCGTTTTACTTGCGGTGACTTCTTTGTTTTTTGGAAGTTGACCAAGACAATGCCGATTTTGGTACTCTTCTTCTTTCGAGCGCTGCCCAGTTTTTCGCCAAGTGGAGATTCCGTTGGTCGGAGGCATTTCGGAGCTAAGGTCAAGATCGTAATTTGCCGATGGCATGAAGTAATGGCTACCCAATATCTTCTCGGCTAGCGCATTGTAAAATCTCGGTCGTGTTATCTTGTTATTGTTGCTCGTATTTTGCCCTAAATTCGAGTCGTTCGACCATTGTCCGTGCCATGAAGCATCTCCATACCTAATTTTATCGAAAAGATGAAGTTATGATTCTTTTTTGAGATTTTGTAGGCAAATTGACTGTAGTGCAATCACCGAAATTCTTACTATTGAATCAACACACACACCCATGTGGATATGTGTGTGTATGAGACCTAACGGTAAAAATACTCGGTGATTGCACTGCATCGAAATCTACTCTTTTGTATAAGAGATTAAATTGATGATTTATGGAATATATATTGATAATATGTACCTTGGATTATTGGAGCTTTGTCTTTGATTAAAGCTTGGAAGAAGAGGAAGTTGGCTAAGGTTATATATGTTTCGATCGGCTACGGTGCCTTCCACGATAAGCCTGTGGTCTCTCATCAGCCCTGTACATATAGGCATTGCTTAAGTTTAAGGATCAATTGAAGGAGAAGAAGAAATTAAAAAGATTAACCTATATATGCAGTTCTTATATGATTAGGGTTAATTAATTACCATGGTTAGATTCATCCATCTTCTTGCTCCTGTACATCTGTAAATGCAAAAGCACAAAGTACTACTTAATTAAGCTATATCAAACTTTTTAGTTATAAATCAATTTGCATCTTGTACATCCATAGCAAGCCCAATATATACAATTGCTTGAAAATTAATATTAAAAATAATAATATTATGTAACAATTATTTGTAAGCTCTCACTAATTAATTAATTTACTCACCTGCAAATGGCTCTTGACATGAGCAATATTCAGTCCCTTAATGTTCATTAACTGCAGCACTAGTTTTGGTGTTGCTCCTACATAGAAATTAAAACAAACATTCATAATTAATATAAAACAAATCCATGAATTTGAAAAACACCCCAAGAAATTAATTCTACTCTTTCACAAACTATTTAGGTATCGATTTTGTGTGTGTATGTATATGTGTATGTATACTTACTCTCTTGCCCTCCGAGCCTCTCGACCGCTTGGACGAATCTCAGATGAAGGTCTGGAGTCCACCTCAGCCTCGGGAGCTTTGACCGAACGTAAGGTCTCACAGATGCTTTTTTCTCGTTTTCTTCAACCGTGCTATTGCTCGAGCTTATCCCTCCTTTCTTGTTATCTTCACTTTCATCTTCTTCACCATTTTTTGACCCACAATAATTAGGCCTTGCTTTGATGAGAGTACACTCATGATTTTTCTCATCACTAAAGCTTCCCATGATGAATTGAAACTATTGTTTTTGTAGCTATGTGACTCTTTTTGGATCACATAATGAAAGCTATGTCTAAATCCTAAAAAAAAAAATCAATATCTAATTCACAAAGCTAATAAAATTAGTAATTTGAGCTCAAGAGCCATATATATTAAACTAGCTCATGATGAAAAAAAATCAATACTTTTTTAAGGGTATTTTGAGAATATTGAAACATGATCTATGATTCTAGATAGAGAATTGTTATTGAAGAAAAAAAGTTAGAAAAAAAAAACCCTAGAGTGTCATGGGAAGAAGATGAAGAAGTAACCCATATTCTCTCTCATATCTCACCTTCATGTACCCTCAAACAACAATAATAGTATACTTTTTATATCAATATAAAATCATTGGGCATCTAATTATACACAATCCGTGTATTGCGTTAGGCAGATTTAATCATTAATTAGTTTGATATACTATTTTTATAAACATATAAACTTTTAAAAATAATATAACTACAAGTATGACATTTGATAAAATAAATAAGCATGCATTTTTGTTCAAATAGTATGATAGGGCGACCCGTCTAATTATTAGTCTGTCTAAACATGTAATTGCCCAAATAAGAATGCATTAATATTCGATGTTGATATCATATGACTATATGGGAGGCTGAAATTACTATATAGCCACTCATGTAAGCCAGTTCAATGTTGTCCACATTGTAAGGAAAAAAGCAAAATTTTCCACGGGCTGGGCTGTAGTTATTAATTATTATAATTACATTATTATTATTATTATATATTCTATCACATAAAAATACAGAAAGGCTACAGATTTCAAAGAGTCCAAAAATGTAGAATTTTTTGGACCAGTTCAACTTATTCCAATTTTTTTTAAAGTTTTTAATATGTAAATGATATTTATAAGAATGGGAAAGCTTGGAATTGATCAATTGGGAGTCCAAGTAAATTCAAACCAAGACTTTTCTGATTGTTGTCCCTTTGTTACTTGGAGAAGCTAAGTATTGGGACCGCCTAATTAATTAAATTTTGTTTAGTAAACGGAGATGGAATGGAACTTAATTCCTACTAATTTCCTTTTATCTTTTATAATTAAAATTTTGTCTTATTTTATGTCTATTCATGATCCGTGTTTATTGAAACACAAATTCTTCTATGAGTCAATTTAATCGTTAATAGGATCAACCGTCATACTTTTATAACAAAAATGTATATTTTTTTTAGAGTAATATTTCAGTTTCAAAGCATTCATATGTATTAATAAAATATTATTTTCTAACTGTAGTTTTATTGTAAGGATTAATATATTATGAAGGATTAAGTACATTATATTAAAACATATAATTAAAAATAAATTAAAGAATTTATGAGGTGAATGCATGACAATATTGATGTTTGTTAGAATTGAGAGGATTTAATATTCATGCACCCAAATTACTGAATTGTGTTTATTTTCCTAATTATTTATTCTTTTCATATCATATCTCAATTGTGATGACTCACATTGGTGTTGCTGCAAAAATATATAGGATTGGTGATTAAATTAAATAAACAAACAAATAAATAAAAGAATTCTTTGCATGTTTGCAGCTGCCTTTACGTCGGGAATCACGGGGTTTTGTTCTTAAGCTTTTTTTTTTTTTTCAAACGACAGAAATTTTTGTTCTTAAGCTGAAATCGGGACCTACGCCCTTTTTGCTACCATCGCAACCTACTTTACAAGTCCAAAAACTAATATGATCGCTGTTTTTATTTATTTATTTTTTAATTGGAATATATATATATATATGACATTTTAATTATGTTAATTTTTTGTTCTAATGTTAGTTTTATTAGTTAAGGAGCGAGACTGATTCTAGTTTCATGTAATTAAACTTTGGTAACATACTAACATGCTGCTAAATGGCGATTTAATTTTTGTTAATGATAAATATATTTGAAAAAGTGATAGTTTGATGTTGGCATATAATCGGGGATGATAATTACTTGACTTAGAGCATCTACAATATTCTGAATTTCCTTGAAAAAGAAAATTATTGTAACGTAAAAAAAAAAAGGTCAATGTAAAAAAAATGCGTTCGCCCATGTAATTAAAAGTAGATATAATCCAATTGACATGAACTTAGAAAAATAAAAAATAAAGAAACGGCTTATACTTAGCCTACAATATTAGGATCTCATGATGAGTAGAGACACACTCTATTTGTAATGATTTTGGCTCTTTTTACTTGATTTTATTCTTGTCATTCAAGATTTAAGTTTATTATACCACGTAAGCACAATTAAATTCAAAATATTATAGATTGAGTTTTTTTCATATGGTTGAACTCGTCCATACTTGTCATGATAAAAAATTAACACAAACAGTTTCGTGAGATATTATGCCACTTAAAAAAAAAATAGCCATTTTTTCAAAAATATATTTTCATCGTTTTCCAAGTCATTTCATGTTGGAAAACTATTGTGAAATAATCATTATCAAAGTGGAAAAATGACATTTTTTGTTGGGAAAAAAGCTAAAATTTCGCTTGAAAAAAGGCTAAAATTATGTATAGTCATAAAAATGACTATTTTGATCATTTGCAATTATAGAAATAAGTAAATTACTATCGGATGGAAAAAAGTGAAAGTATGAGAAATACTATTTTGTAAGTAAAATTACTAATATAACTCACTTATACTAATAAAAATACCAATTGTTAAATGCACTCATCAATAAATTTATTTATTTAAAAAATTAGAAACCGATAGGCAAACACTACTACACTTTCCCGTTGAAACCTTCAAAATAAAAAATTTCAGAAGTCGGTAACCTACTTTTGAGAAAATTCTGTATATTTAATCAGTGTATTATGTCATGGCATCTTATGATAACCATGCACCAACTGATGCACTCAAGTACAAAACAAAAAGAAAAAAAAAATGGTTATTAGTTATATCTCTTCATGAATGCCTTTGTAGAATAAGATAAATATTCAAATAATATTTAAATATCTTGAGATGAGAATTAATGAATTATATCGCAAATTCTTGTATGAGATGTTCTATCAGTTAGACGGGTCGACATGTCATACATTTTTAACAAAAATGATATTAATGTTGCTTTTTAGAATATGATGTCTCATTTCGAATTATCTTATATATATATATATATTGAAAAATTATGGTCATCTAAATGTTAGGTCTGTCCACAACCTTATTGAAATTATATAAATCTATATCTAAAGCAATAAGATTAATAATAAGCGCACACCTAACAGACAGTAATTTTTTTCATTACATATGCATAATTTCAAATTACAATGCTTTATAAAACAATAGAAATAACAGTTTAATATTTGATGACATAAGAATATATTTTTAATATAAATGTATAAATGAAATGAATTAATAGTGACTACAAATTTTGTATTGATATTGTCATCTTCGACATTTACGTATTTCTAACCGTGACTTTTTCTAGGAAACTGAAGGCCACCCATAAAAACTAATTTAATTTTATTTATTTCATTATTTGGTCTCTAAATTAATTCTCTTTGTAGATAAAAAGTATTAATTAATGCGTATGGAGACTCCTTTTACACTCACGGGCTTCTCGACTTTGGAAAAATCCTTTAAAAAAAGAATGGATCTTAGCCTCAAAATTATCTGTGAAATCGATAGGGATTATGATACCTATTGTAATTGGATGGCATTTACAGTTAGTAGTTGGAATTTTTATTAAATTATTTTTAGAGATATATTAAATATGCATTTTAGAGATGAACTTATGGTATTAGACTATTAGTAGTTGGCAAATTAAAATAGCAAGACGATTGTGTGAGGCAACCATATATTGTCAATAAATATAAATATATTTTAAACGTCAACACTAAAAAATAACATATGTAAAAATATGATATTTTATAGTATAAGTACGTTTTTATTTAATAAAATATGACAGTTCAACCTATCCAATTATTAAGTCGATACATACAAGAATTTGTGAAATTTAAATATATATACTAATTTGGGCTAATAATAAATTTGATCGACAATTCATTAACTAATAAAGATCAAGCATGATATACCGAAAATTGAAAAGAAAAAAAAAATATCCACTAATTAATAAAACAAACGTCCACTAATTCATGTACGTAATTGGGCTTAGATAGTATATGCTCATCTCATGATTCTATTAATCAATAGATACTTTCGCAATCTAGTAATAATGAAAATTTGAAGAAATACTTACACAAATATATTATGAAAATAATGGCCCAATTGATGATCGACCATTTTTATATTGTGAGAGAAATAATTTATTAAAATTCCGTACTCACCATGCTAGGGCACATGTGTTTTTCATAAGATTTCTGGCTAGGTTCACAAATTTATTTTTTTTTTTTTAAAAAAATGCAGCTGGTCTGCACAATTGCAAAATTGAACATACTCTAATAAGATCCACAAGATGTAGCAAGTCAATGTAGGGCACAAGTTCGAATTAAGAAAATAATTGAGTCAAACTAAGGCAGCTACTAGCTT